AGATAATTGTTAAATTTAATGAGTAAAATTCCAACTTAATTAATTGGAACACAAAATATATGATTAATTATTATCAATATATTTGAAATTATATGCAAATAAATAAAGCAGTTATACAATTTAGATTTATTGAAATGAAAAAATCAATTTTGGAACATACTTAAAGTACAGAATTCAATAGTAATTTAATAAAATAAATATTTAAATATTAAGGAACAACATAGATAGATGGAAAATATAAACGCTTAAATATTTAAATTGATATTTTCTGAGACTGCTCAATATTTATACAAATATTGTAATGTTAGAAGACATGATGGTGTATATAGTTGTGAATTGTCATTATTAAAGAAGTTGTAATTTGGAAATAAATTATTATAATTAATGAAAAAGCCAAAAGTCCTATAAAATTATAAATACTAATATACGAAATACCATAATATGGGGAATTAATAAAAAAATATATTCATTTGTATATGCTTCATAAAACAAAATGTTCCTAACTCCTGCAACCGAGATTTTAGGAAGTAGAAGCAAACATGTAAGATAAATATTTGATAGGTTATAAGCAGATTAATAATAAGCAAAATGAACAATGATAGAAAAATATAGATCTTAAGATACTTTCTTTCTTACAAAAGAAAATTGATTATATATGGCAAATATGCTCAATTATTCATTAATAAAACATACTTAAGAAATCTTTGAAGAATTAAATGAATTATGGATGATTACTGATTGAGTAGTGAGAAAAACAGCTATTAATGGAAACGGTTTTGAATACTTATTAAAAAAACGCATCTAACATCAACCATTTTTGAAGAAAGAGTGAAGCAAGTTAATAACCTTAAGAAGAAAAATTTGCTAATAAATTATTGATGATTGAATCTTAGAAATAACCAGGATAACCATAAGAATAAGTGAAAGATTGGTAAGTAAATAAAAAGGAGTTAAAGCTAAAGTTCATGTTTTGACTCTTAAAGATGAATTATCTGAAGATTATTTTCAAGAATTCCAATTAAAGAAATCTATTGAATTAAAATAAATTGAAATTGGATTTTAAGCATGCATACCAGAATATAATGATAGAATTTTAGGTATTCCAGATATAGTAACAAGACTTCAGATAATTTATGGTATCCAATTGGTGACTTTAATTGAAGATAAAGCATATACTGATTATAATGTTAAAGTTATGGCTTTAAATGTTTGGAGATTAAATGCTTAAGGAACTTTAAATCAATGAATTAAATCATTAGTTCAATTAACAATGACTTATATTAGATTAATTATGAAAAACCACAAATAACATTTTTAGAGTAGATTTCTTAATTATCTTTAAAACAATATTATAATATTTAAATAGGAATGAGTTTTATATCATTTATATGTTATGATTCATCAATTATTAGAAACAAATAGATATAAACAATTTAAGAGAAAACTGCTAGTAGATTATTAGGCAAGATGTATACTTAAAAGTTTACAGTAATAATTAGAACATAATTTAATAAATAAAAAAGAGTTTTTAAAAATATTAGTTTAGCATTACAATGAAATGAATCTAAATTATCACCATTGTTTATAGGATTGACTAAATATAATCCAGAATTCGGAGATTGGGTATTGGATTAGATGGATATTACTTTAGAATGGTCACCTGCAAAATTAATAGCTGAAATTGTTTTGTAAGATAAGGACAAATAATTAGATAGATTAAAGAAATTCTTAAATTACATTTTGAATTAAATAAATAAATTGGTCAAATTGCTAAGTCTCAAGATTAATTTACTCAGCTTACCCTCTTAATTGAAGTCTTAACTTAAGCAATTCTTATTTCAAGTAAACAAAAGAATAAGGAACCAATATTATTAGATATAGAAGAAGAAGACTTTTAAAACATTCTATAAGCAGTAAAAGTAACAAGTTAATCATATGAACATTGTAATATGATTATTAGATTATTCATTACTCTAATTAAATTATCATAACCATATGTTTGAATTTCAAACTGGAATATCAGATATGACTTAATAATTATTGCAACAATCCCCGCTATATAATCTAAAATTATCGTCCATTTTAGTATAGATTAGCAGTGATGTTGTTAATCTAATTAAACCGCATATACCTAAACTCTTTAAACTCTTTGAACAAACAATAGAATCATTGAAAAAAACAGACAACACAACTATGTCCTATTACTTTTTCTTTTTTGATTCAACTTCTAATGTTACAGAACTTGAAGAATTTTAAATTATGATATTGAAAATCTCATTGTAGAATAATTCATATCAGCAATAGCTTTCTTAAGGCTAAGCAATACAATCTTCCAACGCCAGATGATTGGAGATGAGAAAAGGGTAGACTTGATATAGCTATTTTAGGATAGAAAATGACATCTAAAGAATGGATACCTAATGATTCAAAGAAAAAAGAAATAGGGGGGTAAGCGTTAAAATTAGTAAATAAATAATAGAAAAAGAATAAGAAGAAGAAGAAGAATAGGAGAATAATATTTTTGATGATACTACTAAATTATTATATGATTTGAGATCTGTTGGATATTTATATATAATTTATATTTTAGAATTAAATTATATTCATAAGAATTCGAAAAGGATTGTGATATGAATGGTCATATAGATTTTATTCCTTCTCAAGAAAACCTTAGAGCTTTTTATTTTGGTCTTGATGAAATGGATTGGATTAATGTTAAATTAAAAGCTGGAAGAATAGTTCCAGCATTAGCTACTACAACACCAGTAGTTTCAGGATTATAGTCTATAGAATTAGTCAAAGACTTAAAAAAATGTAAATTGGAAAATATGAAGAATAGATTCATTAATTTAGCTGTTTCTATTGTTTAACTGACTGAACCTATGAAAGATGAAACTATCAAATTAAATGAAGAAATCAATGTTACTTTATGGGATAGATGGGAGGTGAGATTAGGAAAAGAAATCACTTTGAAGAGTTTATTCTAACACTTAAAATAAACTTATCATTTAGAACCAACTAATGTATTCAAATAATCCTCAGTCATTTATATGCATGATCTTCACAAAGGATAGAATCTATTTACATAACCCATTTTTGAATTACTAGATGTTAAGGTATATATTTATCATATCATTTTTTTAGACTGATTATTTAGATTTAGTAATTAATCTTGTGAAAGATGAACAAATATTAAAGAATGTACCTGAAGTTAAAGTTTAACCAATGATGTCTATTATATGTATAAATTATCAAAATAAATATATGTGTTTCTAAACTTATATGTCTAGTTACAATTACTACTTAAAAAATTATAAAAAATTGATGGGAAATTGTTGTAGATAATCTATAATATTATAATATTAAATAGGTAACTTATTCATATAAAAATAGATATTATCATTAAGATATTAAAATGAATAAATGAAAATATAATATGACAACTTGAAGCAATTGTAGGAATTATAGAAATAAAAGGAAGACAAAAAATAGGCAGCAAATGAATTATGGTATATTTTAAATTTTAATTATTTATTAATTATAATAAGAATAGAAATAGAATGAAAAAAAAAATTAAATAGAAATTGTTTGAAATTCAATAAAAGATGAAATATGAAGAATTTAAAAGAAAAACTGATAAATTGATGAATTAGCTGGACAATAATTTAAAAAAAATTAATTTATGGTAAGTAAAATATTTGAATGATTTCATTAATTAAAAATAATAGACACTTAATACATCAATGTAAATTATTGAATCTCATAACTAAAATGTTTATACTAATTATTAATAATAAATGAAAAAAATATAAGATTAAAATTGAAAAAATATGAAAGCAAGATAAAATAAATGGATTAATATAAATTATCATAAATAGATCAACTTACTTAAAAGGCTCATTGAAGTTTTGAACATTAAGATAGCATTAAGTATCGATCATATCAAATATACTAAAATAAATTATCTAATTTGCAAAATAAGATGAATTACTTTAAAGACAAAATGACTTAAATTGAAAAAAAAGATTACAATAGTTATAAATGAGTTATCTATAAGAATAGGGGATCAATCAAAAAAGATATGAATTTAGAGCCAAATCTGAGAATATCTATAGAAATAAATCCATTAATATTATGAATAAATAATTAGAAAAAGAGAAGACTTTTAAATTAGTATAATAATAGAATTAAATTGAATTACAATAAAAATTGTAAAAATTGAATGAAAAATGGTAGACATAATAGAATTAAGGGCCCTAAAAGCTGATTAATTAATACAATCTTATTTTTCATTATTAGAATAGAAAATTACATAAAGAGATTAAAGATTATAAGATTAAATGTAAATTTATTTTAAAATGAAAGATTTTGAATCAAAATAATTTGGAAATACAAAGAAAAGGATTAAAGTAATTGAAGGTATGGAGAGATAAAAACGTGATCTCTTATTTATTTTAGAATAAGATAAAGTTTCTTTTACAAATACATCTGAAATGAAATATTTGTATAGCACTCCAAAATAATAGCAATCTAAATTGTTTATTACATTATTATAGATTTACATATTTAAATAAATGAGAAAAATTGTATATATATTTTCAAGAGCTACCTATCTTGATTTCTAAGCAACAACTCCAACATATGCATAGTAAAGCCCATTCATTTGGATGGGAAACTGAAAAAAGCTTTGGAAAAGCAAGATCTTAAGTAAAATATAGAAACTATTAAATAGATAGCAACATTATTCAATAATTATTTACATCAAGAGCTACTGAAAGTAATAATGCTGAATTAAATGGTTTATACGGATTTTATGGAAAATCAAAGAATCATATAATTACAACTCAGACTGAACAAAAATGTGTTTTAGATACTTGTAGATATGAGGAGGATAAAGGAGTAGAAGTAACATATATGCCAGTTAATTTTAAAAGTTTAATATCATTGAAACAATTATAAGAATCAATTTAATCCAATGCTTTATGTGCGAGTGTAATGCTTGTAAATAATGAAATTGGAGTCATATAAAATTTAAAAGAAATAAGTAGAATGTGTCATGAAAGAGGAGTGTATGTTCATTCTGATTTGCATAAGCTATAGCAAAGATATCTGTTAATGTTTAAGATCTAGATATAGATTTAAGTATAAATCAACTTTTTTCATTATTTTTTATAATTTTAAAATATAATTTATTCGTGTGTAGTATTTCAGCTCATAAATTCTATTGTGCAAAAGGAATTGGAGCATTATATGTTAGTAGAAAACCTAGAGTTAGATTGTAACAAATAATACATGGAGTAGGTTAAGAAAGAAGATTAAGAATAGGTACTTAAGAACCACATTTATGTGTTGGATTTGTTAAAGCAGTTGAAATAGCGTAGCATGAATTATCTTACGACATTTAGCATGTTGAAAAATTATATAATAAACTAATAAATTTATTTTAAAAGAATTTTATTTGAATTTTTTAATTCATTATTTTCTTTTAAGAGAATAATTACTTTAAAATTTTAATAAAATTAAATAAGAATAATTAAAGATTAATTAAAAAATTAAATCTTTAATTAAGTGTAAGGAAATAAAAGAAAAGATTTCTTAAATTCAAATTAGTGGATCTTTAAAACATCGGTATAAAGGAAATTTGAATGTTTCTTTTGCTTTTGTTGAAGGGCATCATCTGGATCTACATGTGCATCAGCATCTCTCGAACCTTTTTATATATTAAGAGCTTTAGATGTTTAAGAAGATATGGCTCATACTAGTCTTAGAATTGGTATTGGGTATATATCTAATGATTATTTAATTAGTCGATTTACTACAGAAGCAGAAAAAAAAAAAGTTGATTTTTTTCTTAATTAATTGAGGTAAGTTGTAAGAAAATTAAGAGAAATATCACCTTTATGGGAAATGCATTAAGATAGAATTGATATTAATAAAATAAAATGTACTCAACCACATTGAATATATATTTTAATATAAATGTAAAAGATGCAATCATATAGTGGTTATACTATAAAAGAAACAAATTTTCAGTTGAAATCCGTCACCAGAAAACTGAAAGCATATGAAAGCATATTTCAATAGAAGAGAGCAATTATTATGTATAATAAGGTTAAGAAGTTGGAGTATGAAAGTAATTGCTTAGAATTGTGATTCAGAATAATTTAGTTAAATTTTGGATATATTTAAACAATATGTTTACCTAAATGTTTGTGTCCTTAATTGTTGAATCAGATTTAAGAGTTCTAATGCAATGAAAAATTTATTTAATTTATTAGCCTATTATTAAGGAGAGTTTAAATAAATGATATACATTAACTTAAAGAATAATATGATATTATTTAATACTGATTTGATATAACTTTAGAATTGCAAGAATTTTAAGAATGGTTTAAGATTATTGAATAATTATGTAAAAATTATTCGAAGCCTTCAATTTAGGTAATAAATATAAATTGATATCAAATAGTTTAAAAATCTTATTTTCTTTTGGAGTTTGATAAAATTTAAATGACCTTATTCCTTGTTGGTAATTGAATGTATGTGTAACTGTCAAACAGATAGAAAAGGAGCTATAAAATATTTGCTTATTATTCTAGGATTTCTTGAATTATCGATAAACAATCTTATGAAATCAACCAATATAATCAGTCATATTATTGAATCATCTGAAGATGGTACAACTACTAATTTAAAAGAATTCATTTTAAAAGTTGAATCTATTAGTCTAAGAGGATTAATTTGTATAAGTA